ACACCACGATAATTAGGGCAACATTGCTTACTCCCTTGGCCCTGGTACAGTGGTAGCATAAGGGCATTCTTCAGCTCGGGAGGCACCTCCTCCTCAATCCATACGCGTTGCACCGTGGTGCAGCGCAGTCAACAACGCGGGTCCGTCGTGTTTCAATACTTCAGGCGGGATCCCGACGGCACCGGCACACTTGCCTTTTCGCAGCTGAGCAAGTGCTCTCTGAGTCTCATCCACTGTCGGCGTGTCTGCCAGACTCATCCTCACCTCGGGCACCTTGAGGCCGCTCAATGTAAACCATTCAATCTCTGAGTGGTCGCGCAAGTGATAGTCAAAGTGTTCTTGCCAGCTCTGCATTATGTCTGCAGTTTGTGTGCAGGCAGCGCCTGAAGTACCATCGATCAGTGTCCTCAGCGGTTCCAACCTCGGTCCATACACCGCCTTCAAGGAGCCAAAGAATTCCCTGTGTTGGCGGCGTACGGCCTAGCATACCAGCTACTTCGCCTTCTCCGTCCACTATGGATTTTTAGTGCGACGGAGCTCTCGAGTCAGTCGCCGTCGAAGTTTGCGAGATTGACTCTTCTTCCTCAAGTCACTGCGGTCTGCCACATGTGAAGCGAATGCTGCATTCTTCTCCGACACTAGTGCGCCAATCGTCGCATTGTTCACATCAAACCAATAAGGCCGCTTGCAATTTGCGCGCCCGATGGTCTCCTCGGCAGCAGTTGTCACCTAGTCGCGAATGTGGTACCACAGGTTGCCCAATGTTGTTATGCAGTCCACATCACATAGTCGTGCAGCCATCGCCCTCTACAACTCCATCCTCTTTGCCACAGTACCTAGGAAAAGAACGTTGTATTTCTGCCGGTTCAAGGCGGGAGTGCAATAGATAGATTTACGAAAATATATGTACAGTTTGGTCCGCACCAATTTGTGATCAGTGTCACACTTAGCTCACGCAGTACATGTGTCATGTGTACTTCAAGCATATCACGATGACGTACGATGACATAGTCGAGCAGGTGAGCGTGACCACTCCGTGGGTGCGTCCAAGTTGCTACATCACTCGCACTCAGTGCAAACCATGTGTTCGTGATCTTCAAGCCGCGAGCGGCACACAGTAAGAGCAGCCTGTCACCGTTCGGCTTCGCTGCATCAATGCCATGAGGGCCGATAACATCTGTTCATACTGATGCATCACGCGCAACACGCGAGTTGAAATCACCCAGCAGAAATTGTTGATCGCTCCTTGGCACAGACCGTATTACGTAAAGATGACTTGCGCAGGCTACCCGTCTTCGAGCACCGCTGTCTGCGGTCCACTGCCCGTGTGTGGTGGCAGCACTACGTAAGCAATGTGGAAGTTAGACAGCGTGTCTTGGGACGTGGAAGCCACTCGCTCGAGGAGCTCATCTCACTGCATCAATTGCAGTGGTTGGGACACGTATTGCGTATGCCTGTCCAGCGTTACCCCCGTCGTGCGTTGTTTGCACTTGCTGGACAGGGCTGGAAGAGACGGTCTGGTGGACAGCCTACAACATGGAGAAGCCGCATGAAAAAGTTGACGAAACAGTTGGCCTCGGCCGGTTGTTGTCGACTACCTGGTTGGGGTCCGAGAGATGAGGATACTTGCTGGTTGAAGACCTTGGAAGTTATGGCTCAAGATCGATGTCAATGGCGGACGTGTGCATCGGTTTGTTGCGGTGTCCCTTCTTCCTCTCCCTAAAAAAAGGAACAAACTAAAAAAATTTCAAAAACTCTGAGTGGTAACATAGACAAAAAAGCATTTGTTGTTGCTCTTTTCTTATTATTCATATTGCTTTCCTATTCAGCCATGATTCCGATGGCACAATATCTGTACCACAGATTGTGTATAATGTATGTAAGGTATGTATTACGGAGGATAGCTGAGTATGGAATTGATCACGCGTGTCATCAGGATAACGCATGGTCGGACCGTACGTGTTTATAAGAGTGGTGAATTTATCTCTTCCAAGTCGTAGGCGAACGGTCATCAGTCGCACGCTGATGCCTGTTGGTTCACCTACCAGGTGGCCATAGAGGCGATCGGATATTACGAATCCGACCCAATGTTCACGTGGTGCTGATACCGTGTTTTCCACTCAGTGGAAGGTATAGCCAGCAGCAGCTTCATACATAACTGGTAGTTAACTGACGTCGTCCACGCCTGACCTCTTCCCTTTTACGGCGAGTGTTTTCCATCTGACTGAGAGCTAAACGCCTCAGGCATACTTTGTCAGGCCTGATACGTGAGCGACAAAGGGGTTTCCAGTAACTCACTGGACAGATGAAGTTCTCGATACAATTTTCTATGAAAATGAGACAAATATCTGCTTTCGCGATTCATCTGGGTCTGTTCGTACAGGATGATATCAGTCATGTCAAACAGATTGAGTCTGCTTCAAAAGTTGTGACCAGATTGTTTATCTCTTGCGCAGAACATTCAGAAGCTTGAGTTCATGCATCTTCTGTTATGCGTACTGCCTAAGTACTTCCCCATATCGCAGAAACTACGGAGGCCCGGTAACCTTGGTTAAAGGGCTTTCAAGATGGGGTGGGTAGCAGAGTTCGCTGAGTCCCGGCTTGTTATTTATTATTTATAAGGATCGCGTGGACCAGGAAGAATCATCGGTGCGCAGTCGGGGCGGGCTGGTGGGAATGCAAAAAAAAACTGGCTCGTCCAGAAAAGAGGCCGACAGGACATTCCCTCCGCTGCAGACTCGGCGGCGCGCTTGGGAGGTGTCACTGCCCCCACCGCACTCCAGTCCACGACCCTCGTCCCACGAAGAAATCCAGGCGTCCTCGTCCCACGAAGAAATCCGGCTTCCTCGTCGGTAACACCTAGCCAGGTGTTTGAGCATGTGCTCAAACTCCGCCCTAGCTACCTTTAGTTTCTCGGGCGACAGTCGACGTGGACGGCATGAGACGAGTGGGCCATTCGTCCCTATGTGGTGCGTGACTTGGGATGCCACGGGCAAAGCTGCGTTCCCAGACTGAACGAGCTTGGAATACTGCGAAGAGATTAGCGTAGTCTGGCGAGGTCTGAGGAAAGATGTAGACTGGTGTTATAAATATGATATCGGCGGTGAGGCCACGTACACAGAGTTTCGCTGCAGTGTCTACTATCATCTGACGATTCGCATCGACCAAGAGATCGAAGTGCCGGAGAAAGTTAACGCCGATGATGGCATAGGGGACCGCAACGGCGATGAATACCCAGTGGAACGTGCACCGTAGACCTAGGTCCAGGATCAGCGACCGATGACCGTAGGTGGCTATTGGCGTGCCATTGGCAGTACTTAGGCTTGTCGACAAAGAAGCGATAGGCTCACCTGGCATAGGGGGACTGACGCTGACTTCCGACCCCGGTATCAACTAAGAACTGGGTCTCGGAATCATAATCCCTAGTGTAAATGAGACGTCATTGTGATTTGCCGACACCTTCAGTCGCCTGAAAGTTTCCCAGTTTCGCGGCCGAGAAACTGCATGATTGCTCAAACTTACGAGCTTTGTTACAGGAACGCGAGTGCTAAAAGCAAAAGCCTGAATGGTTACACTTTGTGCGAAGGGGTGATATGCTAGAGCGGCTGCGCTGCTTATGGTCTAGGAACATGTTCTCGACTTGGCGTTGTAATGACGCTATTTGCGATGATAACGCGTCGAGTCCTGCCGGCTCACTAGTCGCGGATGTCGCTGGGACTGCGACGGGGCTAAGTCGAGTGAATGTTCTAGATTCGTTCGTTGGCTGGTGTCGTTCGGTGACACGGTCTGCTAGTTCTGCAACTGATGCGAGAAGCAGGGCGCTTGTCACGGCAAGGATGGCCTGTGTGCTTTCCTGTAGATGTTGCATACACATTTTGCGGAGAAGCCCAGCTTCCATGCTGGATGTGCCTAGGAGCTGTTGCATCTGTTGCAACAAGGCTGAAGACATCCTGTCCCCTAGCTGCAGATCCCTAAACGTTTGCTGTAGTCGGACTTTGTCGGAGGGCGTGATTCGCTGGATTATTGCCTGCTTTAAACTCTCATATTTCGCATCGGAAGGCGGGCAAGCTATGATGTCTCTCACCTGGGATGATACATTTTGCGGAAGCCGAGACATAAGTTGACCATATTTAAAGTTAGCGGAAGAAACTGCAATTGTAAAATGTGTGTTCTAAATGCGCTAACCATAAGTGTGAGTCATTCTCGTAAATGATTTATCCTCAGAAATGAATAAGTATATGCTGCAGGTGAGAAAACAAAACGATAGCGTGTAATGAATCAAAGTCACTGGAATGAGCTCACTAGCGTGAAAATTCAAAATGGCGGAGTGCGTGTTCTGGACCGGGGTCACCAATTGTTGGCTGGTGCCTGTGATACTAGTCGGTACTCAATGGCACGTAAGAGACGTGTCAACTACGGGACAGTATAGAAGTTGGAGGCGACTGAACCCAACGTATATTGTGCAGGCTACAAAAATAGGAAGCGAATCAACCAGAGCGAGTAACGTTGCCGCAGAATACTCACCAAAACAATTTATGTCAACGGAAGGGCCATCAGTAAAACCAGTGGACGTTTTGAAGAGTGAAACAACGGTAAAATGCAATGTTGCAAGCTACTGAAAGGATGTGTTTTCCTGTACTATATAATATGACAAACATTTCACAGCCTACCCAATCCTACACAATCGAGGTTGGCTTCTTTCTGCATACCTCCATCTGAACACTGCGGTAAGTACACCAAGACAATTTTCATTGTTCCACTTCGTTTTCTTTTCACCCTGTTGTGGTTCCCACGCTGGCCATCCTAAGGGAATTGTTAACCATCCGCTTTTTCTTTTACTCGTAATATACCATTGTGCCATTGTTCTTTTCTGGCGCCCACACAACTCTCAAATGTCCCTGCTTGTTTAACTAATAATATATGGTTACATGGATTCCTTACATGACACAATTTCTGTGCTGGTACTCCTACAAACCTATTCCATTGGATATGGAACCGCAGAATGCGAGGTCGTCTATTAAAGGATTTCCACAGCCACATTTATAGAATTACTTGTGGGTAAATTTGCCCATAATGAAAGAGGTTCCGGTTCAAGCTCCTAATATGGTTAGATTCCAGTTCAAGGTACTAGAATAATATCTGGAGATGAGTATGACTTGCCAAGTTTACTTTCTCTTACTGGCCTGCTTTCCAATTCGCAAGTTGCAAAACCACACAGATTGTACAGAATTTGCCAGTACAGAGTGGAGAACATTACATACAGTCAGCTCGCATGTACCTCTCACATAAAGAGAATCACCATTTCTCAGTGTCATATTACATATCTCTGGAACTTCTTTGAGAATCTAGCAGTATGTACATTCTATCCGGCCTGAAGAAATGCACTCAGTCTTGGATCACAGCGCAACTTCTTCTCCAGTGCCATATACTTTTGCGGAGCGGTCTGTTTGTGTTTAGCTAACATGGTCTCCAACGTGGTGATGCGGAATGTAGCCTCATTGCAATATTGCAGATAGTCCTGTTCATCTTCCTTGGTCAAGTTAATCTGATTTAGCTGATACCATTGTTGTTTCTTTTGCAGTTTGTCCGTCTCTCTTTCAAACCGAGCCTGAATGATATTGGCTTTGGTAATTAGACGTTGCTTGAAATCCTGAAGACACTCTTCACGTAAAGCGAATGCTTGCTCTCTTGTCAGTTTTCCATCTACTAGGTCAATTTGTGCAAGGAATGGAGCCAGATAGTCCAATTCTACCTCTTTATTCCTAGTGCGTTCTTCTTCTGCGGCCCTTTCCAACTCTAAGCGCAAATTATGCGCATCTGTGTTTCTCAGGGTGTCAAACAAATCGATTTCCAAGTTGACCTTTGCATCCTCCGAGACACGCTCGCCCAAAATAGAGCGCACTTCGGCTTCCGATTTGCGAACCGCCAATTTCGAAACCTCCTCTTCCTCCATCAGACAAATTAACATGTTGTAAATTTCTGTCTGGGTTTTCGGTTTGGCGAATAGATTGACCTGTGGATAAGCAAGGTAAGAGCGTAATGAGCAATTATTATAGGGGAAAGTGTTCGAGTACATTATGCCACACAACTCCGTTAGTACATAAAGAAAGTAGCAAGGGCAACGCTGATCAGACTTAGGTTTGCTCGTAATCGATCTCCTATGACCCTTTAAGATAACGGTCGGCTCTGGTTACGCTTCTCTCATTTGGAGCAAATAACAACCCGCTTTTAACAAGCGTGGAGCCGATTGATAATACATGTCCGGAGGACTCCGAATACAATTCGGTTTCGTAGAATGTTAGATGTCGCCAACACTTCGCTTTTTACGCAAATGCTGCTTCAGTTCATTGGAACAGAAGCAGAACTGGCGCAGCATTGATGATAACCACAAGAAATGATACGAGTCCGTGGATAGATATCAAGGTCACCGAACAGTGCGTGCCAGCCGGACTACTTATCGCACTAACAAATTTCACTGCTGTGTCTCCAAATTTTCTCTCAATCCAACCTGCATACCCTCATTCAATCAGGCTTGGCGAGCTCCTTTCAACTATGCTGATATCCCGAATCTACTCCTCAATGAATACCAAATTCTCTCCATTTTCTAATTTCGTGTTTCCTCGCTCCTGACGCAAGCCCAGAGATTCGTTGACCTTACATTCTACACCGCAAATTCCGACCTTTCCTGGAAGCCCAGTTTAAGTGCTAACAACTACACAACTGCTCTATTACCTAACTGTATAAGACAGCTACAAGCGAATTCTCCTCACATACTACTACAGCCGTTGTCGACCCAACAGTCGCCAGCGATACGCCAGAATTCCACCAGTGTTGCATTTCGTACTAACATTGCCAGCGCGCGATCGATAGCCGTCGAGTCTACTGTATCGTCCGCCGCACTCGGGCCAATCAACTGGCACCGGCAGTCATTTGACCATGTGTGTTTCGACTACCGCGTGAACTGCAACCACGTGCACTGCATTGGCAAGTCAGAGCAGGTCGGTTTGATCGGATTTTCTCACCCCAGTAAACGATTTTGGCGTGAAACTGGTGCCAGTAGGTTGTGTCCACCTGTCCTGACCTTGATAAAGAGAGCCTAGACCACTAACTGCTTAACATTTTGTTCCACACCTAGTTTCTGATTGCGCGACTAGCGGTTAGAGCCAAGTTGAAGTAAGCATCACAAAAGGCCGTCGTGCCTGCAGTACTATTCCATTTTACCCTCGTTCATCTGACGTTTTTGTTCCTCAAACGTTTGAAATAAATGAGAATATCTGTAGCTCGGGGTGTGGATGCGGATTTTGAGCAGTTCTCCGAGCTAGGTAATTATTTTGCAGACGTTTCGTTGCCTGACTAGGCAACATCATCAGTGCGGCTTCAGGGGCCTGGTTCGCAGTGCCTCGTAAGCGACTTCAATGTCCAAGTGCTTATTGATCGAGTTCTGTTTTGAATGCCAGGCTTCAATGAACTCACGTGCTTGAAGCCTGGCATTCAAAACAGAACTCGATCAATAAGCACTTGGACATTGAAGTCGCTTACGAGGCACTGCGAACCAGGCCCCTGAAGCCGCACTGATGATGTTGCCTAGTCAGGCAACGAAACGTCTGCAAAATAATTACCTAGCTCGGAGAACTGCTCAAAATCCGCATCCTCAAACGTTTGTATATTTTGTGTGAGATAACGATTATTATCTCACGACAGCCGTAAACACGCGTTCCATGAGAAAGTGCCACCAGCCAAGCTACTGCGTTGACCAATACCGCAACGGTCACAATGAACGCTACTAATCCCACTCCCTGCACTACACAAGACAACATTGAATGCTCTGGATTCCAGGGCAGAATACATGAATTTGAAAAAGCTGTGCGACATTTGCAAGAAAGCTTCGCTGCTGTTAAGCCTCTGGTTCCTAGTATAGATTCGCTTTTCCACTTAACTGACACATTTCCTAATCCGTCATCCTATCACCTACATATCGCTGGTAGATTTATTTCCCCATCGCGACGAGACTGGACCTTTACGTGGTGCGATGGTTTGTGTGCCACAGTGATCCATTGAGCTATGCTAGGTGGTGCTGTTTTGCACCTTCAGAGCCACACATACCAGACTGGTCAATGGTTAGAGGCCAGACAAACTCAGTCTCTTGGCCTGCAGGTTGGGGGTTGGCTTGAGGGTGGCTCCTTTGCGCTATTGCGCCTGTCTGGCGATGATGCAGCTTCAAATGCCGGTCAATCTGGTGTCGGCATTGTTTTGACTCCCTAGGCTGAAGCTGCCCTGATCGATTGGATCCCAGTCAATAGTAGGATGTGCGCCGTCTGATTAGCTGGTTCGTTCCATTCTACGAAGTCGCGCGGGAACAAACGGTGCCTGTTTGTCATTGCGGCCTATGCCCCTACAAACTGTAGCACTGATTCGTTGAAAGATGATTTATATCAGCAACTTCACGATCTCCTTTGTTACAGAAGAAGCACGGATACTGTGGTGTTGGCTAGTGACCTAAACGCTTAAGTCAGAAAATTGTCCTCTGATGAGCTTCATCTGGGCGGCCAACAGGGTGTAGACACCGATAATAAAAACGGAGAGCAATTGCTACAGCTGTGTGAAGGTGCTCGCCTCTTTCTCGTGAGCACTATCTTTCGACATAGCACCCGCAGAAGCGTGAGTTGGCGCCCACCAGCTTCGCACCAGCCATGGACGCAAATCGATCATATCGCGATCAGATACGGCTGGAGAGGCAGCGTCTAAAAAGGTCGCCCGATTTGGAGCACGAGCGTGGACTCTGACCACACACTTGTCTGCGCCGACCTCAGGGTGCGTTTCGGTGGATCTCCGCAACTTCGATGTGAACGGATTGACACCAGCCAGCTGGCGAAGCCAGGTGTTCTGAATGTGTATCACAGTGCGCTGACATCTGGGCTGAGCAAGCGCCCACTAAACACCGTTGAAGATCACTGGTCGCATATTCGTCAAGCGTTGCTGTTAGCAGGCATGTCTTCATGTGACAAATCAAATTACCAAACTGGACTTTGGGTCTCTACACAGTCTCTGGAACTTATGGATGCTCGCCGACGTATTCCGGCTAGAAGCGAATACAATGAGGTTCGTAAAAATCTCAGGGCAAAACTGCGTGCTAGCGTGAAGAAAGATCGCGAAACGTGGTGGTCTCATCGTGCCTCCGAGATGGAAGCAGCCGCTACCGTTGGTAATAATCGTGTTATTCCGTCTGATACGAGAAACCGGCAGCAGGGGACCTGGTGTTAGCGAGCCCATACGCGACGGGAGTGGGCAGTCAATCCACAGTCTGTCAAAACGTTTGGAACCTTGAGCCGGACACATTGCAAGGCAATTTAACCAACCTGAGTTATCGCTTTCTTTTTCGGGCATTGAGTGCCCTTCTCCTTGGGCCGTCTCCTCTGATCCGCCCTCACGCGCAGAAGTCGAACTTGAGATCAGGCTGTTGAAATTGCATAAGGCCGCATGGGCAGATGGAATTCCCCCAGCCCTCTTCACATTCGAGTTGTTAGTGAAACTTGAGAGCAGGAGACTGTCATGACAGACTGGAGCCGATTCGTCATTGTCCCAATTTTCAAGGGAAGCTCCCGTTCGAAATGCAACAATCACAGAGGGATCAGTCTGGTCTCTATTGCCTCTAAATTGCTTGCGTCTGTCATTCTCCACAGACTGACTGGCGCTCGTGAAAGCCAGATTCGTGAAGAGCAAGCCGGGTTTCGTGAAGGTTGGGGCTGCATCGACGGCATCTTCACCTTGCGTCAATTGTTAGAGCACCGCCATATTTACTGGCGACCCCCCGTTGTCGCGTTTCTTGACATAAAAGGTGCCTTCGACTCAGTCGATCGATGTTCCCTTTGGGACTGTCTGCTCAAGAATGAAGTGCCTGATAAATACGTAAACATTATCAGATCGTGGTACGAGCATAGTTCGGGCAGAACTAGGGTTTATGGCAAACTGTTGCTGCGCTTCAGTATCACCAGCGGTGTGAGACAAGGTTGTCCGTTGTCGCTTTTCTTGTCCAACTTCGCAGTTGACGAGGTCATGGAAACAGCATTCGTTGGACACGACATAGAAGGTGTGGAACTACGTCCTGATGAGCGACTTCATGACTTGGAATATGCGGACGATATTGCCCTAATCTGTGACAGCTCCCACACATGCCAAGCAGCACTGGACCGATTAGCACTGGTTGTCTATCATTATGGGCTATGCTTTGCTCCATTGAAATGCAAAGTACTTCTCCAAAATTGACAGGGACCCACCTCTGCGCTAACGCTTTATGGTGATCTGCTAGAAGTCGTTCAGGAATTCAAGTACCTGGGCAGCTATATTAGCGCCCGAGGGATCGAAGATGAAGTTACGAACCGTATAGCAAAAGCACGAGGTGCTAGTACCAATCTCCGTCACCTGTGACGCAGACGCGACATTGCTCTCGCCCTGGAGAGCAGAGTTTCTAATGCAGCCGTCCGTTCAACTCTCCTATATGGTTGTGAAACCTGGCCCATCAGGTCGACAGACACAAAGTGGCTCGTCACATTGGATCATCGCTACTATCGCAACTTAGCACATGTCTGGTGGGAGCACCGTGTGAGCAATGAGCGTGTTCGGCGTCGCGTGTTTGTTGCAGGAAGAGCGAGTGAACCGTTCAGCACCAATGTATCACGCACCAGGCTCCGATGGCTGGGTCACGTGTTACGCATGCCAGCACACCGACTCCCGCGACGTGCATTGTTCGCGCGCCGGGGGTGCGGTTGGGCGAGGACGAGGGGAGGCCAAGCGATGATTTGGTTGAGAAGAATAAAACCCCTCACTACGAAACTGGCGTCGGCTGGTGCATCCAGACTGCCTGCCTGAGGTCCTAAGGACGATGAACAAGTTTGCTTGGACATACTTGCTGATATGGCGAAGAGCCGGCGTTTGTGTTGTGAGTTTCTTTGTCCATCTCCCTCCCTTTAGGTTCCCCCTCCAATCCCGATCTCATGCAATACGCATAACATAATA